TTATTACTACCGCATCTGACAACGTGTCTAATCTACTGTTAATATGATGTAAAAGTCGTCTTTCTAAAAGTTCCATCGATTTTGTGAACACTTCAGTCAAATCTGAAATAAGAAATAGTGTCATAATTAAAATAATTAAATGTTGTGTAAATTTAAAAAAAAAATTTTTAAATAATTAATTTAAAACTAACTTACCAGTATCATTTCTGCAGTGTGCACATTTTTTACTATTCCGATGATTAGAATTTTCAGTGACTCTTCTTTCGGAAGCAGAAGCATATGGACTTTTAAATTTTCTTGCTCTTGTTTGAGCTGGTTTTGTAAATGATGCTTTTTCGGACTGCTTATACTCGTTGTTGTTCGGTTCGAGTTCTTCATCAGATTCTACATCTGGAAAGTTTTCTATCACTGAATGGATTGACGAAGAAGCTACTGGCATGGCATTCGCTGTAAATGTTAAAAAAATAAAGATATTATTAATGAAGTATCATTTCTGCAAAATTTTAAATAAGTAAACGTAAAAACATCGAAAAAAGATTTATTTACACTACCGTCCGAAATTGTGCGAACTCTGCTTTTTCAACAAATATAAAACTGTTCAAATCTTCAAAAATATTAAAACTAAAATTTTTTCCTCTTTATTTTATTAAAGCTAATAAAAGTCTGAAAGAAATGACACCTTGACAAAGAGAATATGTTAATTTTTCAATTAGATATCTAAGAAAAACCCAATTTTCAATGTTTTTACTATTTTTTTTATTTCTCTGGCAAAAATTAATATTTTTAAACGTTCTTAGGCTCATTGAAATCGTATTTTGTTATGCAATTCAAATTATATAAAACAATTCATGTACACATTCTTCCCTAGCGTATGCAAACCGTGAAAGTTGGCTCATAAAATGTCAAAAAATTTAAATTTAATTCTACAATAATATATAATGTTTAAAAATCAAGTAAATATATCATTCTAAACTTCTCTGATTTATGTAAGTAAATTTAAGATTTATACATTTTACTGATCATTTTTTGTCATATAAATATTAATCACAATTTTTTGACATTTTATGAGCCAACTTTCACGGTTTGCATACGCTAGGGAAGAATGTGTACATGAATTGTTTTATATAATTTGAATTGCATAAGAAAATACGATTTCAATGAGCCTAAGAACGTTTAAAAATATTAATTTTTGCCAGAGGAATAAAAAAAATAGTAAAAACATTGAAAATTGGGTTTTTCTTAGATATCTAATTGAAAAATTAACATATTCTCTTTGTCAAGGTGTCATTTCTTTCAGACTTTTATTAGCTTTAATAAAATAAAGAAGAAAAAATTTTAGTTTTAATATTTTTGAAGATTTGAACAGTTTTATATTTGTTGAAAAAGCAGAGTTCGCACAATTTCGGACGGTAGTGTACGTATTATGCATAAAGTGTATACCGATTTGAAAAACTTAAAAGATTTCTTTTAAACAAAAAAAATACCTTGGGTCTCATTCACTTTACTTTGCGAATTGGCGATATTTTTCGCACCATTAACTCTTCTGACGGAAGCAGAAGCGTAAGGACTTTTAAATTTTGATTTAGTTTGAGCTGCTTTTTTAAATGATTTTCTGGACTGATTATAATCGTTGTTGATCGGTTCGTGTTCTTCGTCAAAAGAATTGTCCAAAGATTTTTCAGATACTGTATCAGTAAAATTATCTTTCACTGAATGGATTGGCAAAGAAGCTACCGGCAAGGCATTCCCTGTAAATGTAAAAAAAAAGATATTATTAATGAAGTATCAGTATTCTGCAAAATTTTAAATAAGCAGACATAAAAGTTTCAAAAAAAGAAAGCAATAAATTTTTTACGTATTATGTATAAAATGTATAAAAGGTTCCTTTTAAACAAAGAATAAAAATACCTTGGGTCTCATTTGCTTTACTTTGCAAATTGGCAACGACATTTTTCGCTTCGGCTAAAATGTCATCAGCTGATTCATCGCAACTTGAATCGGAATGTTCTCGAGGTTCATCACTTAAGCAACTTTCCTCAAAGGTACTTGTATCAACAATTGCGCTTTCGAAGGCTCTATCCTGGCGCCTTATTCCTTGTTGAAAAGAACCTTAAAAAAGTAAAATAATAGTTAAATATTCAATAAAATTAATTTAAGTTTTATCGGATTTATAATTTTAATAATTAATATTATTCTTACTTGCTTCTCTTAATAAAATTACAGCCCATTCTCCCCACTTTGGATCAGGATGTTTTCCAGTTTCAACCCACTCATCAATAAATTTATATTCTACGATGGGTGGATATTTACAAAACCACTGCTTCTTGCTTCTTTTATAAATGACCCAATATCTGGGCACTAGTTCAACGACTCTTTGCCCTTTACTGTTTAGTTTAATGAACTGAACAACAACATGGGTTGTATTTTTGTGCAAACTTTTGATATTCATTTTCACGTGTTCCATTAGTAACCTTCAAATATAACAAAGTATCTATGTATGTGTGTATGCAATAAAAAATAATTTTTGCCATGTGGTACAATTTGATGATGAATTATTTAAAGTTTAGACACGAAACCTTGTAAAAGAACATGTAGAAAGTGCTTTTCTAAAATTTGGAGGTTAGAAATTACGTCATGAATTTTTTGTTCACTACATCTGAATTAGAGAGAGTATTGAAAGTTTTAATATATATGTTAATGTCATATAAAATAGAAGCAACAATAGCAATCATTTTATCAGAAAAATTTTTATAAAAAAAAACACAAACACTGAATAAAAAATCTGATGCAACACGTGGCTATTTATTTTCGATCAAAAATTTCTTTGCTTGTAATCCAATAGTGTAATAAAAATTATGTTTTAAACGCAATAAATGTATTTAAAAAAATATTTTGTAATATAAAATACACTGGACAATTAATTATTTGTGTTAATTTATTTGTGCAAGCAGTGTGAGTGCACGTGGTTGACGCGTCGCGGTCTATAACTTTGAGGTTAGAAATCATGTTCTGAATCTTATCGCATTTTCAACACTTTAATGAGAAAAATATTTAGTACTATAAGAAATTGATAAATATAAAATATAAAAGGTAACATAATTACATGACTTTACCTTCACAATTTCTGTCAGAGCGATGCTATCAGAGAAATAGATGGTGAAACGGTGTATACACAGATGATTGCGTACGGCAAATGGCCGATTTAACATTTGTCTATTGGGCAGGCAAAACTTAGCAGACAAAGATAGAAGTAATTGTAGCGCGCGAAAATACGCCCATTTAAAGTTTGAAAAATAACTGATACTTTTTTAAAAATGAATTTGATGACTATTGTTTTCTAATATAATTCAGAACCAATTTATCGATTTTAGATGAAGAAAGATATCGATAAAAATTCCCTTTTCATAGTTCAGTGATGCAATAAAGGAATTGTATAGATTCTTTTTTCAGAATTTTCGTTCACCCACATGACAACCATTTTTCGATTAATATCAGTTAAAAAATAACTTTTCAGCACATTCCTTGCATCCTTCTGCATTTCCCACATGTATAAATTACTCGAATCACGATGGTAATCAAAAATAGACTTCTTCTTTTCCCATACATGTCCAACAATTACTATTTTGTCTAACGAATGATATTCTTTTAATTTAACGATGTCAGCGATTTTAAAAATCTTTTTGTTAGAAAGCATCATAGTGTTGTCTGGATAAGATGTGGAAATAGTTAAGTTTGTGTATTTGAGTTTTTTAATCCTCGTTCGATCTTCTGTCACGGATTCGGTTTCAATTATTTGTATGACAGGTGGTGATGATGTATTTTTGTTTACAGTCATTTCAAATAACCGTCGACAAATTTGAGACAAGGGTCTATTTCCACAACGAACAAGTTTTTTTAATTTACCCAAAAAATTTTCAAATGGAAAAGCGGTGATGTTTTTAAGACTGGAATTCAAGAATTTTGCATTATCTGCTAAATGAATCAGATTATGCATGTTGATCACTTGCATTGAAGTTCCATAGGTATGCTTTAAAAGTTTAAAAACACAGATCAAATAATGCTTTGCTAAACTGTTCCATGAAATAGCAAATTCTTCTTCACACAAAATGCGACAAGCTACGTGCAACAAAAGAAAATGCTGGGAAAGTCGAGGACTTATAATGTTTTTAAAAATAATTGGACCGCTATATAAGAGACAGAAAAGAAGCTCAGTCGCCTTCCATTTCGGAAGAAACTTTAAAGATCGAGGTTTCCTCGGAAATTCAATTGGAACTTGATTTTCCAATGCTTTCAATCTTTCAGATAATGTTTGTCTGTCTCTCACACTCAATTTTGTCTTCAAACCTGATGTCAAACATTCTAATATTCTTTTCATAACACCTGATCCCAAATGCATAAAGTCTAAAATAAATATCGAAATTATATTTATTGTTTGTTTTAAAGAAAGAAGTGGTGATTCTTCTTTATGGTGTTCAGGTTGAGTTTTTTCTCTAAACGAATTGTCGGTTCTCAAAGGTTCATTAGTTAATGGATAAACGGTTCGATAATCTTTCTTTTTAGATTTTTTCGATTTCACTCTTTTTCCCTTATTTTTACAACGTTCGCATGCGTATTATCCTCCATGTCCTTTGGTACCTTTTGCAAATGAACGAGCGGGAGTATCGCAAACAAAACATTTTATTCTCACTTTGAAATGTCTATTTTCAATTGTCAAACCTTCTTCGAATAAACGATTCACCTCTTCCTTGAAATCCTTCAGATATTCTTTAATATTTTTTGGTTTGCATTTTTCCAAAAAAAGTCCAACACAAAATGGCTCATAAATATTATTAGGCGTATAAATTTTTGCAGTAATAGGCCACAAATCTTCATTAATAGACCGAAAAAGTTGCATTCCATCAATATTAATAATTAGAGAGATTGTATCACTTTTGTGCTCATTCACATTCAAGCAATTTTTAATACCTGAAGCAACTCCAAGGTAAGCAAACTGACCTTTTCCTCCATCCTTATCTTCCATTTCCGTTATAACATATTTAGCTGAAGAGGTTCTTAACAACGTTTTAGAAGATGCTGGTAATTGAGGTAGCACATTTTTTCTTAAAATCTTAAGAATTTCATCAACTTTCGTCAATGGTACTTGACCACCTTGGGCCCACATTCTTATTTCGGAAACTATATCCATTTCGGGAGATTTATCATTTACGTCAAGTTCATCATCTGAATATTCAAAATCGTCAATTATTTCTTCGTCAGTATTCTCGCTTTCCGACTCATCCCCATAAATGTCTTCAAAATCCAAAAATAAATTGTCTTCAGCGTCTTCAAACTGCTCCTCTTCGTCGCAAGATACATAATCATCGTCATCATCATCTGCATCATCAGCATCATCAAAATCTTCATATGTAATTTTATCACAATCTTGGTAATCGTAGTGGCAGCTATTAACTTGTGCAAAATTATAAATATTTTTATCATCATGGCTATGAGAGACACTTGGTTTATCTAAAATTATTTTATACAAAACATTAATTCGTAGAATATATTCTTTTTTTAATTACAAATGAAAATTAATTAAAAGTTTCATTAAATAATTTCAGAAAGTTTGTAACAAATTAATGAATTTAATTGTTTAACACATTTTTTAAAAAATTAGTTTTTAAATAAATTTTATATTTTTTCATAAATAAATTTTAATTTGCAGCATATACATACCAGATGAAGATTCTTCCTGCGAAATATTGTCATCAGATAATTTCAACTTTTTTAAACACCGTGTCTCTCAACTCTGTCGCGATTTAAAAAATCTTTTCCTGTCTTGTCCAAACATTTTATATTAAAATTTTCTGAAATAGTTTTTAAAAATTAAACAAATTAAAATTTAACATAAATAATATATAATAATACTTAATAAGATTTTCCAAGTATTAAAAAATTTAGTTTATTGACTAAATAAAAAAAAATTAAAAACTGTGTCTTTTGAGGTTAAGTTATACATATAATAATTTTCAAAAACTACAAACGAACATTTTTTAGAAAACATAATTTTGCAAAATTTTATTATCATACTTGTAAACTAAATTTTAACAAATATATATTCTTATGTAACCTTTACATTTTATTTATTGAAATAACCTTTTATGAAAATAGAAAATAACCTCGCCTTCTACGTATTCTCTATTAAAATATGAAATATTTTCTATACTTACATTCCTCTTTAATGAAAAAATCAAAAAGTTACTCCTGTTTTGCATTATAATCAAACATTTTGACATTAATAAAAAACAAACACGCACTATTTTTAAAAATAAATTAACTGCAATTGTGATAGAATTCTAGTTTAGTGACGTGAAGACGCAGATGTGAGATATAGTTAATAGTCCAATTGCGCATACCTCAAATGCTGATCTGAGTATATTACTGGCATTGTAATGGATGAGTACTACCTTCCAGTACTGGTAAAATTCCCGAAAACCAGTACTGGTAGATTGTACTGTGCCAATACAATGCCAGTGGTGAGCTTCGGCCTTTTTCCGAAATTTCTACTAGGGCGTTTTTGAGGTCGATAATTACAAATCTGAAGTCAGTTATTAAATATGGCGGATATATTTTCAAAAATTCAACCATTTTGCTTGTTCATTAAGATGTTATATGAAAATGTTAATCGTAATTTGTTGTTTGTATTACGTGTTTATTTTGTGTTTAATATAACGCTAAAGACACGTGAGTTAGGGTTTAGCCAACCAAAATTTTGCAATTATGAAGCGTTCTTGCAATGGAAATTCATTTGTCGACTTAAAGAGGTGTCAAAATCTTTATTTCCATTGGATAGAAAGAAATGACAAATTTTTGATAATATTTTCTAACTTTTCAGACCAGCGAAAATCTGACCGCGGAAATTGAGCTTTTTATTTCAATTTCGAGGTTCATTCACTCATTTTTTTCCTTTACAGTTTTTGTCAACTTACTTTGTCTTTGACATATTTTTTTCTGCAATTAATTGTCTTCATTTGAAACAGTGTAATCTGTGAAAAATTACTTTTATAAAAATCAGCAAAAAGAATAACAAAAGTTTTTGGAACACGTGTAAACATAACCTAAAAAATAATAATTACCTTAAAATTCGACGAGAATTAATTATTAATTAATTATAATTAATAATTAATTTTTAGTAAATATTATTTTTTAGGTTATGTTTACACGTGTTCCAAACACACAAAATTTTTGCTGATTTTTATAAAAGTAATTTTTTACAGATTACACTGAAGATGTCTGTAATATAACAGACGAAACGTTTGTTTTTAAAAGATTGATGTGTGTACGTCATTTTTTAATAAATAAAATTAATACGACCTAAAGAAAACATATCTTTCTAAGAAAACCTTTTCAAACATCGATATTCATATTTTAAATAAGGTCAAAAACACAAATTTTACAAGATTTTACATTTGATTTGAAACAAAAAAAAAATATTTTTTTTAAGCGTGTAACATTGACTTGCATAATACGTCTTTATTGTTCGCACACTTCACTGCAATACATGTGAAAAGTTCGCTGACATTGTTAATAAGTACTTACATACAAAGACAGATGGTGCTAGCGTGATAAAACAAAATAAACGCGATGGCTCAACTCTGACCACTGTCCAACCCTAACTACTCTCCCCTACTAAAAAAATAATTAAAGTGAATTTTAACAAGATTAAACTATGTACTTCATACAACAATGTAAATATGTAAAAAAATATAATTGCAGATTCGTAATCAGCGACCTCAAAAACCTCCGAGTAACAATTTTCAAACAACATGGTTGGATTTTTAAAAATATATCAGCCATTTTAGAACCGTCATTTTGAATTTCTTAAAAACTGACTTCAGATTCGCAATCTAGCACGAACAATTTTGATCGGATTGATTTCAACCAAAGTTTTTTTTTGATCGTCACTTACTAATGCTATTGGGCAAAATGATCGGGATATTTTAAAATGCCTTAAATAAAAACCATTTCAAACAACCGCGCACATTTCGAACCAATCAAATAAATTTTGGATTAACTTCCGATTTCGGTTACCCTATACCAATCACAGTTCAGCTCGACTTGCGTCAACTCTCTCTTGAGGATCTGTACTTTAGAGTACGTAGTGGATTTTTTGTTTGTTTTTTTTTGGCAATAGATTTTTGGAAAAAATTTCGCCCTAAAAATCGACTTTTTCCTTTAAACAACCGCCAAATCCACAGAAATTAGTATTTTTAAAATATTCTACGTACTTTAAAGCAAAATGAGACGCATGAATTTTCTCCAAATTTCAAATGGCCTAAAACTTAATTGTCCTAAAAGTCGTTTGAACTAATTATTACTTGGCCTAATCTGTATATGACTTATTATTATTTATCCTAATCTTTATTCAATCTAATCCTTATTTGTACTAATCTTCATTTGACCTAATTCTCATTTGGCATAATCTTAATTTAACCTAATTCTTATTTAACGTAAAATTTATCTGCCCTAAATCTCACTTGGTCTAAATTTTCTGTAACCTAATATTTTTTAGCCTCATTTTTATTTGATCTAATTATTACTTGGCCTGAAAACAATTTCCCATAATTATCATTTGAAATCATTTTCATCTGGCCTAATTATCATTTGGACTAAACGCCGCTTAAACTAATATTCAGTTGATCTAATCTTTATAAAACCTAATTCTCATTTGGCATAATCATAGTGTAACCTAATTGTTGTTTGTTCTAATATTTATCGGACCTAATTCTCATTTGGCCTAATTTTACATTATCCTACTGGTGACTTGTTCTAATATTAATCTAACATAATTCTGAACTGGTCTAATCTTAATGTAACCTAATTCCCTTCTGGCCTAATCCTCATTAGGCCTAATTCTCATTTGGTAAGTATAAAGAATTAAAATTAAAAAAATTATTTATGACCGTTATAAAATTAATTAAGTTTTGTTTAATGAAATAGAATGCATTCTTAAGTAAATACATTTTCAAGTAAATGTTTATGCTTACAGTTTTTCCTTCACGCAATTTGAATTTCGCGCTACGTTAACTTTCCAACTATCCGCCAGATGGCAGTGTTTTTTCTCTCTCTAATTCCTAGCAGGACGTTAGAAAATATTTTTTTCTTTTTCTCCGTTTATTGCGGATGATTTTATATATAACCCTTGATCTAAAGAGAAATGATAATGTTATTATACATATATAATAAAATATAATATATAAATATAACTAAAAATTTTATTATATTTCAGTTTTAATAATTAATTTTTTTAATCTTGGCTGGAATCTGATTTTTTGTATTTTTGAAAATTGGGCCAATATTGAAATTCGAGCCTTGGCATTGGTCTCTACACTCCCTGCCTTGGACCAATATTGGTAAAAATAACTGGTCCAATATTTAGCCAATATTGAGTCTTGTCAATTTCCCACTGGGTGAGTGACGATAAAAAAAACTGGCCTAAGTCAATCTGATCAAAATTGTTCGAGCTAGACTGCCCACCGTTTTGAAAAATATTATTTCGAGAAAAACGCGTTTAAAATTTTGACAAGCACCTTCTGCAGATTTCGATTTTTTACATAAAATAACTTCAAAATCACTTCTCATGATATAATTTTTATTCTACACATCATAAAGTATCGTTTAAGCAAAAAATAGTCGATTTTTTTCGGGTCAAAGGTATCACTCTCACTTAAAAAATATTTTTTGTTTTAAGAGGGAGTGATATATTTTTTATATTTAGGCTTAACAGATGTTCTAAAAAAACCTGTTTTGTAAAGGTATAAGTTGAATTAAATGTATTTTTAAAATGAGTAAACTTAGGTAATAGTCCTTTTTTTATTGCTACATAACACGAATAAATTAATCCCACTTCTAAAACTGTATGATGGATAGGGTATGGTATAAATGGGAAAGGCACGTGTTTCATTTAACACAATGTCTTTATTATAAGTCGGATGGTTAAATACTGAAAGGTACTTGAAGGTATTGCTGTGAGGTTCAGAGTCTTACCTGCACCTTACCATTTTCCAAATTTTTAGGGTGGAAAAACCTATGACGTATACTGGTAAAAAAAACCAGGTATAAAATATAAATTACTAAAATAAAAGTTTAAAGCGATTTATACATTTCGACCACAATTATATGAGTCATTTTACATGTAATGACCCAACTTAAACTTCTTTAAAACAAAACAAAACTTGGCATAATTGTTGTTTATTTTCTTTTGTTGGATAACTTTTAAAACTTGGTGTTCAATTTTACAGAAACTTGATTCAAATCAAAGATGTACACTTTTGGAGAGACTTAGTAATTTGTTGAAAGATTCACGATACACAACGAAAATAGCAGATCACTTTCGTCATATTCTTTTGATTTTATTGACTTCAGCAATACCAATTTATGACGGAAGCATCTGTACTTTGCAACTGCTGGAATGCAATCATCAAACGAATTGTGTCATTCTTGGAAAACTTATTGGAAGCTACCCTGATGTATTGGGGTAACTATCATTTTTAAAGATATTAATAATTTATATTCATATTATTTTCATAAAGCAACTTTTTATGTTACATATTACAAAATTTATAATAATAAAAAAAAATAATCCAAAGGATATTTCTGTTCACACTTGAAGTTAATATTTTTTAATTGTTTTTGTTTTATACTTAGAATGAAATTTTGTTTTTTTTAAATAATAGGGTGGCTGTAAGATAGCCAAAACGCGCTCCGTTTGTTTATTACAATTCAAAACCTAGTAGCATTAATTACTTTTTAACTACCCTGTATAATTCAAAAAATCTTCAATTAAATTTAAAAATTATATTAATTTTATATTACAATATTTTGTAGTTGTTTCAGACTTTGTAGTTGATTTAACTAAATTTTGAAGTAAAATATGATTAAGAAAGAAATTATTTTTATTAAAAAGAGTTCAATTAATTACACACAGAGTTAAAATAAGTACAAAAGTAGTTAGTTTAAGGGTAGGTCAAAGTCGATGCAATTTTTATACAGAGATTTAATGGGAAAATCGCATCGACTTTGACCTGGCCTTAAGAGGGAAGCTTCATGTAATCTACCTGTTTTGAAAAATTCATTAGAAACAACTAATAGTCTTTTTTAAAATGAGTTAAATTAAATTATATAAATAGGTAAGGTTTAACCCAGCAAACACGAATACGTAATGGTTATATATTTGTTATATAACAAGATGTAACACGTTCTGTCACAAGCTTGTAGCATGTTACAAGTATGTTACAAGCAGGTTACGATAAATGCCAGCTCTGATCTCTGTAACAGATATGTAACAAATACATAACACTGTTACTAGTGATTTATAACAGATATGCAACGATTATATAAATCAATTACAAATTTTTTAAATCCAGTGACAACATCTTATATAACACGTATGTAACAAATATAGAACTTTGTTACCAAAAAATACAAAATTAATATAATAAATTAAGAGAGTATCATATTTTGTCTTAATTTGATGTTGATAATGTTAATAAAATAAAAAAAATTAGTAATCCTAACACATTCTCGAAATTTTTTAACCGGTTGACTCCCGAGATTCGAGCTCTCGACCATCACTAGTGTATCTACACTGCAGGGCTCAATCGTACTGGGAGCTGCGCCTAGACGCGCTCGACCAAGGGAGACTATGAAGGTTTCTTAGGAAATGTTCCTTGTAACAAACACATGAAATAGATAGGTTTATTATTTTGTAAAACCATCAAACAATTTTTCAGTTGTTTATTATTTATTACAATGAGTATACTAGCATATCATTTCTAAAATATTAATAATTTTGAACAATATAAATAATTTTTATTTGTTAATTCTTAAATATGTTAATTAAAATAAATGTAAAAATTGTAAAATCTTTTAATTATTGTATTTTAGAATTTATTACTTTTTACTTTTTAATTTGAAAGGAAATAAATCTTTGCTTCAGTCAAGTGGACAGTACATATAAATTTTAATTTTCTCAAAAAAAGTAATTAAGTAACAATGTTGTTACAGTAAAATTTTTTTTAATTAACTAATACAATTTATATTACTCATAATAGTGATATATATTATTATTTAATGTTTAATATTAGCAATTTATATATATATATATGTATAATAATATAAAACAAAGCAAATATTAAGTTTCTAATAAATATAAATTATAAAAATGTACGAAATTCAAATCTTAAAAGTTTCCAAGTTAATTTTAACCTACCAAAAATGACTAAATTTTGCAATTCGGCTAATTTAAAGTACTATATAGATTTGAACAAACTGTATATTAATTCTTTGTTGAAAATCAAATAATTTATGTTTCGGTCAAGTTTCAAAAAAATTGATGTTGGCATAAAAATTGACAAAATTACATTGCAAGGCATTATTAATGAAAAAAAATCCAAATAGGAATCTTACAACAAAAAGGATCAAACATTTAATGACTATTTAAATTTATTCTATAACAAAAAGAGAATATTGTTCTAGAAAGGTGACATAATATTGTTATATCACAATTCTAGAACAAAAAAAGTACAAAATTTCTAGAAAATTTGTGACTTAAATGTTCTATAACACTTATGGAACTTATATCTAAAAACAGTTCTAGAACAAAAAAATAGAACAGTTATATAACATATTAGGAACATTGTTCTAGAACACTGTTACCATTTAGTTCTATAATTTCTACATGTTATTGATGGCACAATTATTCTAGTAAAATGTTCTTTAATTTTAATAGAACAATTATAGAACGTGTTTGCTGGGAAACGTATTAAAATAAATTTTTTATCGAGCAAAAAAAAGAGAATGGGGGCATTGCAGCTGTTCAAACTTAGTTACTTTGTAATTGTGTAATTGAGGACCCCGATTCTATAAGGGGCTCTACGCTTGAGGCAGCCGCCTTGCGAAAAGTCAGGTGGTCCAAAAATGGAAAAAATAAAATTCAAAATTAAAATTTTTTAAAAACGCTATCCTGCAGGAAATAAAAATCCGAACCTTCTTTTTCTTTGCGATTTTTTTATAAAAGAAATATTCAAATTAGTAGAGGCAAATAGTAGAAAATTTTTTACGATAATTTAATGGACTTTTAAAACATAACTCGTCGTAATTTCGCCAAATATTGATGAATTTCTTTAAAATTTGGTGCATTTTAATCAGTTTATACTATTAATGACGACAATCATAAACAAATTCAAAAAATTGTTATTATTTTATATTAATTAACAATAAAGTTTTAATTTTGAAAATATATATGTTTTTCAACCTTCTAATGAAAAAGTTATTAAAGGAATTTTCATTCCGGAAAAACTCCTTAAATATTAAGGAAGTTTTTCCAAAAGTTTGGAATTAATTCTCTAAGAAATAAAGAAGTTATAAGGAAAATAGTAAAAAACTATTTTTCTTTTTCCTTCAGCAGCACACGGAGAAAAATTTATTGGTACTGATTACAGTAGTAGAACATTACTGATCGGATATGTGGCCATTTTTTGTAACGCTTACAAGAGCTTTCTTATTTATCATTCCTCAAGTTAACTGTACTTATTACGAATTTATTGAAAATAAATACCATAATGTTACAAAATAAAAAATTCAATGTAATTAATTTAATTTATATATTAAAATTAGATGAATAATTAATAAATTGAACGAACTTACCTAGTGAAGTTCGATTATAATTGTATGAGCGCCTCCTCCGAATAGATCACATGTGGTAGTCCACTTTACGCCAGTAATATCACATTTTTAAAAGCAAATGAAAAAGAAAAAAGGTGGCGCTGCATTCGGCTGCAATATCCGGGCTGCGCGCCGTTTCATCATTTTTTTAAAAGTATTTCCGTCAATATATAGGGATTATAATTTGGGTATGGGTGGGTTTGATCTATTCGTAGGAGGCGCTCATACAATTATAATCGAACTTCACTAGGTAAGTTCGTTCAATTTATTAATTGTATTTCGCGCCTCCTCCTTCTAGATCACATGTAGATGTTGAAAGCATTGACGGAAATTGTATATAAAAGAAAATAGTATGGGAATAAAATAATTAAAGTTTTAATTTTTAAATTAAGGCAGAAACTTTTTATCTTTCTTTAATAATACATAGAAAAAGAAATACAGACAACTTTTTAATTGTTCAAGATAGAATTCGCGAAATTCGAACTATCGTTAATAACAGGACGGTTGTAAAACTTTGCAAAAGTTAGAGAATTACTCGTCCAACCAGCTGTTTTTCTGATGAGATCTAAATCAACACCTAAACGATTAGCGGCGGACGTTGCCGCGTGACGTGTACTGTAACCGGAAAAAATCGTCGTGTCTATACCACTATTACTTAAAGTGGTTTTTATCCATCGGCTTAATGTCTGTACTGTAATTTTATTGTAAGGTGTACAAAATGAAATAAACAAATTTTTTGTGGAACCTCTTAGACTTTTCGTTTTTGTTAAATACGCCTTTAAAGCCGATGCGGGACAAATTTTTTCGTCCTTGAAAAAAGGAAGAATTAAATTCGGCTGCGTATTATTATGTCTTGAGGTTTTTATGCGATCAGGTATTCTAATTTCTAAACCTGAAGGAGTTTCTACAATGTTCTCGATTTTTATAACACCGAATGTTTGAAGTCTGTGACCTGTAACGATTCCCAGGAGAGTAATAAGTTTAAATGATAGGTCTTTAAGACTTAAATCGTCGTTTTTTGGTTGGGATTTAAAGAGATCCAAAACAATCTTGGGGTCCCAAGTAAAGTCATATTTGGGTCTACCGGGACGGAGCGAAGAAATTCCTTTAAAAAATCTTTTTACTCTCCCATCATTGGTAATTGTTTGGTCTGAAATTAAAGAGATTGCTGATCGCGTACAGTTTAATGTACTATAAGAAGAACTTTTTTGAAATTCTTGTGTGAGAAATTTTAACAAGTCGGGAACAGAAGGTTCGAACGCGTTGATGTTGTTCAGATGAGTAAAACTCCACCATTTTTTAGACCAACTTCGTAATTTCGGATTGAAGAATCACTCAGAGATGCTAATGCGATTTCCAGACTTTCTTCTGGTGTTCCTTTTTGAATCAAAGCTTGCCTGATAATTTGCCGGCCACCAGGGTAAGGTGTTTCCATAGTGGATGTCGAGATCTATCGGAAGAAATCAAAAGATTAGAACCAGGATTAAAATAAATTGGTTTTTCAGTTAACCATTCCCAAATATTTTTTGCTACATTATTTAAATGGGGCTGTTGAATACCACCCATTTTATTGACATAACAAATTGCCGTTGTATTGTCTATTCGTAAAAGTATATTACAATTGTTTAGTTTATCGGCGAAACTTTTAAGGCCAAAAAACGCAGCCAATAATTCTAATTCATTAATGTTTCGTTTCTTCTCCTCTAGGGTCCAAAAACCGTTAGATTTTTCGTTATCGCAGACAGCACCCCATCCAGTTAACGAGGCGTCAGAAAAAATTTCAATACTGTACTCGACATTTTTTATGGATTT